TCACTAACACTTCTTATGTTCATGGCTGGGGCTGTATAGCTCCAAAAAGGAAATCGGCCGAGGGGATTGCCGTCGTCTCCAACCACGCCCACCCTGCCTGGACTGATGCTTTAAGGACATCTTGGCGGAGTGTCACCAATAAATTTGACGAAAAAATGGGTATGGGTGAAAAACAAGTAGAAGCATCTTCCACGCTCTCCATTCGGTTACCTGTCCCATAGCTGTGTATCCGAATACGTTCATGATCATGGTGCACGCATCATTACCGCATGTGATTTGTACTAGCCATTGCAGCAAGAAGAACATCAACTAAACAGTAGAGTTAGTCTGAGTTAAAGTGTAACACGAGAGGAGTTTTCTTCTGAAAAACTGCGTAAGCAACTTGCTTTTGTTTGTTAACTGCTGTTTTTGGCCGCAGTTCGCCTTGCGAATGTTTCACAAGAATGCTGGGTTGTGAACAAAACTTTCGCCCCAGGCGGGACTAGAACCCGCACCTCTCGCTTTCCGGGCAAGTGCGCTACCAGTTACGCTACCGGGGCACCATTTCATCCCAACTCAGCGAGAGGTGCGGGTTCTAGTCCCGCCTGTGCTGAAAGTTTTGCTTCACAACCCAGCATTCTTGTGAAACTTGCGTTAACATCGTTTCGGGCATCAACCATCAACTAAAAATTACATCGTAGTGCAAGCGCAGTGCAACACACGTCATGTATAATAGTATAGGCAACATATTTGTGATAAATTCGATGAAGCCAGAAGTTTCTAATCTATTCCCTTGGGTGATCAGTGCCTTACATGATCAAGTATGGTGTTACAGATTTTCAAAACGATCATCTTGCTTTTCCGATTTTCAGCTACCACGTCAGTTTGGTGAAATTGGAGATAATAAAATTGGAGACAGTCAATGTACCAGTTTCTCGGAATCCTACTGCTGACTTCTTAGTTTGGATCAGAACTCCGACAAACGTCCCGAGGCTTTTTCGACCTTCTCAGCAAAACCATCCTTAACTTCGACATGTGCGGGGAAGTTGACGTATTAATAGTATTTCAAACCTTTGGGCATTTTTGTCACTTACATTGTTATGCAATACATACACACCCCTCCCCACCATTCCCGTTCGACGCACTCTTCGTCATTTTAAAGTTCTGATACCATCCCGCCTACCTCAGTGCGCCCCGCCTACCAAAGCCCATTTCGATGCACTCTCCGTCCATCGTTGGCAGCGCTTGAATATCAAAGGCACACTTGAGGCACTGCTCATCTCTGACAATTTTTCAGCCTTCAGGATATCATTGAATCAAGTCATAATTGCATTCACAGCATCCATTCAGAGAACGTCCCGTACGATACCTAGTGCGAGTGTTCTCTGCTTACATAGTTCATGTGCGCTTTGCGCTTTGCGTATTCGTCCATGCCCCACCTAGCAATAATTTGATCCAGCTCTCCGGGCACATAATACAGAATCGGCAGACATACGGCTTTACAACTTTCATTGAACTCGTCTGAAACAGGGGCGAGATGATTGCCGAACCATCCGTTGTTTTCAATGCACTTGTTTTATAGGTTGCAAGCCTTCTGTGGAAGCGAATTTTTCTTTGACTACTACATAGTAGTCTAAGTATAAATCGGGTAAACTGACTAGGGGAGCAGAACGTGACGGCTAATTCGAATGCAATCAAGAAAGCGCATCTAGGGGTGCCCTACGTCAGCGGTGGTCTTCTCAGGGCAAGCCACGCTTTTTCAAAACGGTTTGTGCATATTGTAGGGACGCATGTAGGGAACACAAAACCATGTTTCATTTTCGCTGAACGGTTTTAGCAGTACCAAAAAAGAAGCATAAGGTACTGTTAATGGTTCGATCCCCCGTGGCGACTAAATTTTGCATTTGGGTTGGCGCCTACGGTTTGGTGCCAAATCGCGCTAAATATCAAAATCAGATGTCAATTCATCGTCAGGACCATTTTGAAGCCAACAAGTGGCCGCCAACCTTGATTGCAAAATTTAGTCGCCGCGGGGATCGAACCATCAAGAGTATCATTCACCACTTTTTTGGTACTACTAAAACCGTTCAGCGAAAACGAAACATGGTTTTGTGGTCCATACATGCGTCCCTACAATATGCAAGAAACCGTTTCCAAAAAGCGCGGCTTGCCCTGAAAGACCCCCCTTGTCAGTAGCAGGTGAGCACGCGTTTCCGCGCGTATGGCTTACACTTCACTGACTTATTGAGCCCTTCAATCTACTACCTTGTACTCAGAAAACTTACAAGCTGAAACCATCTGAGCAGTGCCATCGGGTGGGATAACATTCCTGGGTTGCAATCGATCGGTTCCACCTCGATCACCTGAAAACACTATCACTTTTTTGAAACTCTTCAGATGATTTTATTATCACTGTTCTTCTTATTCTTTAGCGTTTGTCCCATTCTGTGGCGGTGGTCCGCTAATTATCACTCATCAGATGAATAGGGAATTCGCTTCTCTTCCCTTCTGAGATCGCATCGGAATTCCTCCTAAGTTTCGTGTTTTGCGCTATACTGGTAAAAGAACTTCCACAAAACCTCCAAAGACAAGACTTTGATAGGCAAGTATAAAGGGAATTGGGATGTTCTTGCAGTAGATATCGTAGGTCATTGCTGCTCCTAAAGCTACGCTCAAATCACCCTATAGCGGCAAATGAACCACTTGATTGCGATTTGAACAGCGATAAGCATTCTGTTCTGCGCCTTTCTTTTTCGAATAATCTTTACACCTGTCTTTAAGGCAAGCGCCACGATAAATTGGGATGTCAAAGCATTCAATAATGAAGCTCTAGTTCGGTGGTAGTCCGAAAAAGAAAAAAAGAAACCCAAGGTTCGCCTGAATAAGAACTGCCACTCTTTCTGCCGCATTCCACGGAGGGAAGGGGAAGGGACCACCAGTGCGAATGATACCATCTATGAAACACGATAGTTTCACTTTTCTCCACGGGAAGGAGAAGTATTTAGTGATTTGCTGAAGGCTTATTCCACGACCAAAGTACTCTCTACCGGCCTGTCTCCCAACACGAATATGTTGCTTGTGGTCACTGGAGACAGCACACAAAGTTTCACGCATGAAGATTCAGGTTTCCGAAGAGAAACAAACTTACAAAAACTACACTCTATGGACAGTCGAAGGTAAGTCGCGCGGAGCCAAAGGCGAGGCATGGAAAGAAGTGCGCCTTGGGACGGCTACGCTTGAAAGAATCGGTTGAAGGGTTCGATTTTGGAGAACAGAGACAAAACATCGATAGAATAGGATGCAGTAGAAGTGTGAGATGTTAATGCAATAAGTCAAAAGGCCAAAAAGAGTTTCTAGTGACGGCACTCCAAGAACCAAGTGGAAGCATTCCTCCGCCAGAATTTGTGACGGGTGCAGCCCCTCCAGTTTTTCGACTTTTTTCTTACCATAAGGGATTTTTTTTATTGTTCTCGTTCTTATCGTGAACATTGGGTCCAATGCCAGTGGCTTGTGGGTGAGATGAAATCACGATTTTTCGGGAAAGATTTCTTCGGGCAAAGTGCGC